GAAGATCAGGAGCAGTAGACTCCTCCTCCTCCTCCTCCTGCTCTTCCTCCGCCTACTCCCACCTTCACTCCCACTCCTACAGCTTCTGCTGCTGCTGCTGCTGCTGCTACTGCTACTGCTACTGCTACGACGATGGCATCGACGACGTCGCTGACTGCTTGGGCTTTCCCCGCAAGTGAGTCCAGCAAGCTGCCATTTCGTACACTCACCACTGATATGGCCAGTATGCTTACTCTGAGCAGCAGTACAACGCCTCATATTGCCGAACGACGGCTCTTGTGATTGATAGTAACCCTAAACCCTTAAGTCTAAACCCTAAACCCTAAACCCTAAACCCTATACAAAACCCTAAACCCTAAACCCAATTGCTTGCTTCATAACAAGGCTGGTCAAGGGCGAGCCTGCAGCCATTTCGCCGCTTCATCAGCGGCCGCCTCCAGGGCCGCCGTGGCTCGAGCAGTTGGGGAAGGTTTCGGATTTCGGGTTTGGGGTTTAGGGTTTAGGAATAGTTAGGGTTTAGGGTTTAGGGTTTTAGGGTTTAGGGTTTAGGGTTTAGGGTTTCGGATTCAGGAACTAAGAGGAGGGTTCAGAAGGCTCCAGCTTGGAATTCCGGGCCATTGCAGTAGCGATCCGACCTCGAGTGCACGGAAGTCTCATGAAAGGAACAACTGATGACCTCGGTGCTGATTGAAGGAAAAGCAGAAAGAGTACACTAGTTCGTGGAAAATCGTCGCAGGCCTCGTCGAAAGTGAGAACCGACCAAGGTCCGTCCTGCAAGCACGCTTCTGGGAAAGCAATCAGAGCAACAGTGCCAGGAAACGAGGCTTTTGGCTATTCAGAGGTCCCCTGCCAATTCTAAGCACGCTGGACGACCTTGAGAGGATCACCTCTAACAACCACTGCGATACGGTTTAGGGCTTAGGGTTTAGGGTTTAGGGTTACGCTGGGGCCTCATCCAAAGGCAAAGTGCTAGCTCACGCAGAGTCCGCGAGCCTCAAGGACTTCAACGCAAAGCGCTTGCGAGGGGTCCTCGGTCGGCCGCAGACGGCCGGTTCTTTTGAAGGGCACGAGGGTTTAGGGTTTAGGGTTCCTGAATCTGAATCGAGGTGACCACGACCACGGACTTTGCCTACGACTCCAGGAGATGTTCACGTGATCAACATCGCCATCATCTGTGCTGCCATCATGAACCTCATCATCCATCATCAAATGCATGACAACAGAATGTGGCACCATCACCCATGCACCATCACCGTCGTCGAGTTCATCGCCTACCTCAGCCCTACAAGGGAAAATCCCCCAAGCTGCAAGCCAGTCCTAAACCATTCTCACACTTCCTCTCCACCCCTGAATCTCGGTTCCATGGCAGACGCAAGACGGTGCCAGGTCCCAGGCCACGAATCCATCTTTGAAGCAGGCAGTTTCCAGCATTCAAAGGTTGCAACTGAACAAGCACTGTGACTTGGTGAAGAGCGCTTGCTTCTACGAGGCCTTAGACAACGTATTGCCACTTGTACGATATTGGGGTAAAACTTGGGGCTGTCGAGTCTCAAGGTTGAGCCGTTTGGCTTCTGGGTCTGGCCACCATGAAGGATCCGTGAATGAAGCTCGCACAAACGAATAAAAATTCTGAGTCGTGTGTCGTAAGGAATGCCGCAGACTTCGAGCCGAAAGCTCACTCGCTGCATCTGGTGCTTCTGGTGCTTTCGGACTCTCCGGCTTTCGATCCGACTGCTCCTCCGGGCGGGCTGCGTCTGCGAGCTCTGTTTTGTCTCCGTCGCTCCAGCTCTAAAGGACTCAAAAGGATTGAAACTCCCAGCTTCAAACTGGCGCTAATCAGGTTGTCCTGCTGGCTAGAATGCTAGATTCGCCGCATGCTACGTAAAACAAAGAGCGAGGATACACAGAGCTTCTTTTAATCGCGAAATCTGATATCCTCATTTCTGGATTCTTGAAATTCCTGTAGGCCCGCATGGACCGTGTCGAGGCGTTGCCTCGACAGTGATGTGAAATCAGCACGAGTCACTAGCCGCCCAGTCATAAAGAGCTAGGCTCGCTGAATTCTGCAGTCGCAACGCGGTGGCTTTGCCAAACCGAGATACGATTCGCTCAAGCATAGAAGGGCAAGGCTTCGTTGTCTTTTGAAGACTTCCGTATGTGCTGTGCCGGTCTGCACTGCACCGCCAGGACACGCCCAGATGATGAAGACCGAGGCTGTGTGTCTCAGCTTTACCAGCTCACTTGAACAACTCTGGGCGGCGGCGCAGCTTCGGGATCTTGTGCAAAAAATGCACACTCGGATGCGCTTCCGATGCCGACGAAGGAAGGCTCGTCGTCCTTACCCTCCATTATCCCACACAGTTTCGAGCCATCATCCATGCATCGCTCAGCCAGGAAAACTTCATTATCTGCATGAAAATAGACGAACTGCCTCACCTCCTCGTCCTCCAAATCACCCAGCCTCGCAAATGGAGAATGGAAGAACTTGCCATTGCACACTTCCTTGCCACCACCGTACACACACAGCTCGTCTACGAAGGGCGAGTCTTTATGCTCCACCGTCATGGTCGCTTTGGTGCCCTCTTGCTCTGTACCACTCGACCACGGGGCCTCCACTCCATGGCGCATGCTCACAGCTTCCTCGTTGACAAAAAGCTTGGTCCAAGTAGAACCGCCCTCATTCTTCAGAAGCTCCCAATGCGATGACCAGGTTTTTGGTGGCAAGGCAACACGCCTGATGTAGTATCTGTGGCGTTGGGTGTGCTTGTACATACCGAAGCCACAACTTGAATAAACACCTTCGGCATCGGGATGGTCTGAACATGCCGACACTCTGAGTGTGTCACATTGAACCGGGAAAGCTTTGCGGACAATACTGAGATCGAGCTCACTACTTTCCGGCGAATCTCCTCCGGTCCGTACCCAACCGAATACAGGCACCAAAGCCTCCAAGCAAGCTTCATGGCAATTGTCCCAGTTGTTCACTTCATACAGCGGCTCAGACTCATTGACATCTCCTTTGTCCGAGATCTTATGAAGTCCCCAGCCCAAGGAACCTGGCCTGTCAGCATCAAAATTCCACTTGCCGCAAATTGCAAAAGGCTTCTCGCGATGTCTGTAAATGCCATAGTCACCTTCTTGCTCATAGATCCCATTGGCGTCCGATTCAAAGGCACCCGAAACCTGGCAACCACAACACGGCTGCAAACACGCAGCCGAGCAGTCAGAATCAGCACGATTGCAGGCAAGGCGCCAAAATGGTGTCGTTCAAGAAATGAGTACCGCGGGCTCGCCTGAACACAGCATAGATGTAGCTTCGAGGCAAAGCCATCAGAAAGTTGGCAAAGGAAACACTGCAAGAGAGGACAATGGACAGCATCACCTTGGGGTCAGCACCAACGATCAACACTCTATGCACACATGCCACGAGCATTCATGCAAAGGTTGACACATGCGCAGCAGAGGGGCCATTCTATTGTAGCGCTTCTCAACCAGGTACATCAACTGAAGAACTGCTTGCAAGGCATCTTCACAGAAGAACCTCAGAGAGCTCGTTGCCAAAGTGACGAGCCGACGGGTGTGAGCAAAAGAGCTTGCTCCGGAGGTAGCATTGAGGCTGCGTGCTGCCTTCTGGCTTGATCCCAGCATGGTCGCAACAAGTCGCACGAGACGACGCGCGGCAGGAGGATCAAACCAGTTGACCCAGCCAGGAATTGCCAGGAGGAACGGCCTCATCTCGTCCAGCTTGGAAGACTTGCTGCTCTCCCGCAGGACGTGATCAACTGTTGTTCCTTCCTGTGCCTTTCGGCCTGCCGTCTCTGCATCAGCATCTAGCTCCGGAAGCACTTTCAAAAGCGGATCAACATCACTGCTCTCAAAATCTTCATTCACGGCTGCTATGAAAGCACGGCAGCCGAACTTTCGCTCGGGATCAGTGCCATCGTCATCCGTCAAAAAGTGGAAGGTGACAGCACTCCCATCAACAAACGCGAAGCGGTTCTTGAAGCTACTGCCACTCATCATACACTTCCCACGCTCGTCAGGATCCGAATCCGAATCATCCCCCTCCCCGCCACTGTAGACGTAGAGTTTCGTAGAAGTGTCGAAGCAACGAGACTTCGTCGAAAGCACGACGAAGAGCTTCTTTGCCCAAGGTATCTCGACTGTGTGCTTTCCGGCATCTTCTGCCGAGTAGGGATGGCTTGTTTCGAAAGTTGTCCAGCTAAGGGCAGATTGCCTCAAGTAGGACTTGATCTTCCTCTCAGAGCTTCGCAGGGAAGGCGCTGACACTAGAGCAGCCTCTAGCCCGAAAATGTCGATGGTCTCCAGATATGAGTATGGGCGTTGTGCCCCGCCACCCTTCTTCGAAGCGAACTCGCCCTCCGGCACCACAGGCCACGACTTCTGCATCTCAAAAGTCGCTTCATCATCTTCCAGACGTCGCAGTTGCCATTTCCCATTCTCGGAGAACCTGCTTTGGAGTATAGAGCTTCAGGCTTTGGATTCTTGCACATCGTTTTGAATGTAAGCAAGGTTTCAAGCTTTCGTTTTCGAGGACCCGGGGCTGTTACGTGCTGCAGTTGAAAACTTGCCTGCTCGAAATCACCATCTCGCCGTTGACGTGATTCCACTCGGGGTTTCCATTTGTCCAGCTGGCCGTCGCGATGTACACGCCATCGACAAGCGGATACCCAGAACCGAAGACCCTGACACGCAGGCACTCCGAAATGCGTTGACGAAAGGCGTCAAGCCCGCCGGCAAAGTCCGCTGTGTCCTGCTGTAACTTTAGCGGCTGATACGAATGCCCACCTCCGGCAGGCAGTGACAAGGAGCCGTCACCATCACCATGAGCAATCTCAGGCTCCTCCGTCTCCTCCTCCTCTGCCTGGCCGTCAAGCTTGACCTCATCGATGTCAACGATCAAGGACTCGAAATGCAGGAGCTTCAGCAGGGCTGAAACGTAGTTCTGCCAATCCGTGTCCTTCTGGTTCTTCTTCTCCGTCTTCGAGATAATGAAGAGATAGTAGATGGCCGCGCCAAAGTACAGGGCGAACTGAAAGATCAGCACTCCTATCACGAAGACCATGGCGGCGAGAATCCACAGCGGCCAGCCGCTGATGTAGGCGATCATGATGAAGTTCACATCCGTGTATACATCGGCGCCGGCGAGCAAGCCCAAGAAGACCCTCATAAGAATGGTCGGCAAGCTGGTAACTTCTTTCGAGAAGCCACAGAGCGCATGGACGAAGAGTTCCAGCAGCCGGGATGCCATCATGAAGCTGAAGAAGGTGAGGTGAGCTTCCCACGGCAAGCCAGTGGAGACGCTCGCCCTCCCCATCGCCTTAAGGGGGACCCAGACGATGCCGATGAAGTAGGCGACGATGAAGAGCCACATAACAGATCGAAGTGCGATGCCCGTGAAAGACTGTCGGGTCAACAGCAGCACCGGAGGCGTAGGAGTCGGGTCCGACCGGAGGAGGTGCATGCAGAAGGCCAGGAACACAAAGGCTGAAGTGAAAATCATCGCGGCCGTTTCATAGGCCCCAGCCCGGTGGTAGAGCTCGAGTCTTGTCCATCCCACAAAGAGTGAACTCTTTTCTGGGGCGAGTTCCAAGGCCTCAAGATCTCTCCCACTGAGGCTCTGCCCCGTGTGCTTTGTGGGGGATGTGGCGGAGCCGCCCATGGAGCTTCGGAAGGCTTCCAGGCTCTTCGGAGGTACGGAGACGACGTCGGAAGCCAGAAGCCACTTCACGTTCCTGCACGCCTCCGCTTCCTTCGAGGTCTGGTTGTAGAGCAGGACCCCCTTGAGGCCGGCGGAGTCAAGCAAGCCTTGTGGGTCGAAGGAGGCCGTGTCGTACTTCGCCAAAAGCTCTGCGAACTGCGAGGCCTCGCCCGATTCGGTCTGCGGCTCTGTTTCGAGTTCCATCTCCTCCTGGACAAGAACAGAGAGAATGGATCCTGGGGAGTTCTCGGCGCTCGATTTCGGCTTTGGCATCAGATGCACCGACCTGGTGATCATCCACGGAAAAAAAGATCACGTGGAGTGCTACACTAAGGCCCTAAACCCTAAACCCTTCGCCCCTAATCTATGGACACCAGAAACTGTGCGGAAAACTTTTGGTGATGCGAGCCTCAAAGCCGGGGCCAGGTAGACCTTCCATGCATGGTGGCACAACCTGGGTTCTTGTTCAGGGTTTGAATTTAAGTTTCTATTTATCGGGATCTATAGTAAAATGTAGTAAATAATTTAATATGGTTTCCTTATTATGGTGACGTAAATTAAATCCGTTAACAAGAACCCAGCAACTTGAGGAAGGAATTTGAAGGCGTCCACGACGAGGACGTGATGGGTGACCCGTGCACAAACTGAATTTCCATGGGCAGCTTCATGCCTTCCACTTGGTGGTGGCTTGGCATCAAGATGCGAACCTGAAGTCTGCCCCGACACACTCAGGCTAAAGCCGCTCTTTGGGAAAGCAATGATGCAACTCCAGACTAGCATTATTTTGATATTATTATTCATATTACTAGTTTTATCATTATTGTTATTGTTATTACTATTCTCATTACTAGTAGCACTATTACGATTATCATTAGTATTAATTTTACGAAATTTAGGACCACAAAAACCCCTGGTGCAAACCCTGCTCAGACATGCACAGGCACTTGTGACAGATGAAATCGCGTTGCGATGCCTTGATGTCCGACAGAAAGGTGGCCTGCGTCTTTCTGCGCCTTAGATTCGGATGTATCAGGTCTACATGTCAGAAAATTAATTACGACTACGAGAATCCTCGCCCTGAGGAATTCGGTCTTTCGTCAAACGTCTTGCAGACGGAATGGGACTGGAAAAAATGTGCCAAGAGTGAGCCGCAGCTCTGGTTCAATGAGGATCATTCCAGCGTCGTCTTTTCTTGTCGGCTCGCGCCATGTGGGATACGAGTACGACACTCCGGAGTTTGTCGAAGGTGTTTCCCATGCGTTCCTGACAAAGCAAGGGGGGGTTAGGCCCTGAAGCGACATCTCCACATGCAGACACAAAGCCAATATCCTATACCCTCTGTACCCTGCAAGTGACATATCAAAACATGCCAACTTCCCATCGAAGCTCCATGGGATGGAGACCGGGAAGCCAACGGACTCCTGGCACGGAATGCCGCTGCACATCAAGTCTGCTCTCTCTTATGATGGTGCAACAGCCCTAAATCCTAATACCCATTCCAGCGAAAGGCCAAGATGCTGCAGCACAGGAATTGGCATCCAGCGAGTTTGCCAAGCGGGTGAGTATCGCGAGCAAGAGGCCTCCAGCCCACATGGCAGTGGGTTCGTCACCGCAACTTCTAAACTTGAACAGCGACTCGTAGCAAGATCCTGCGGTTTGACAGGTACGAAAAGTGCTTGAAGCTGTTATTCTCCCACTACCTGGCAAAACTCAATGTGGTGCTTTGACCACATTCTGCAGCCGAAACCGCACAGACATCAAGATCAGTGCAACTGCAGCTTCAATAAACCGTCTCGGCGGTACTGCAAGGCCTCACGAACCTCGAATTCCGTCCGCTCGGAACCCTCCACACGCGCGTTGAGGACACCACGAAACCGTTGTCGGGCTAGCTGTTGATGCACAGCGCCATGTGAGTCTCTGACATGTGGGCCACAAGGCCCAAAATGTTCTAGATCGGTCTTTACAGAACATGGCACCCTAGGGACCCTAACTCGAAGACAACCCGGCAGGAACCTCTCGCTTTACGCCGCAAAGCACCAGCGGTGAAGCAGGAGGCAAGCGTTTACAATTTGCAGATTCTGTTCTTTGACACAGCTCACACCTGAATGGAGATGTCGGCACCAAGTAGCAGAGACATGGTCTCAAGGTGCCTTCGAGCATGCATTAGCAGCATTTTGCAACCCGGGCCCGAATCTTGGCGACAAGCTTCCCTCCGTCATTGGGCCTCGAGGACGCAGAAGGTTCGGGCCCAGCTTCCGTTTCCAACCGGGTTCGCTCAGGGAGACGGGTCCTACCAGACACGGAAAATTGCCTAATGAAGGCGGACCGGACGAAAGTTGGTGTGGCCGGAAATCCAGCTACAAAACCAAGAGCAGCGGAGCCAACAGAAATCAGACAGTAGCAGACTTGATTCTGGGGCAGAACCACATCGGATACTGCCGCAGAATTGAAGACCAGGTCAAAACAACAAAGCACAGGAACACGGATGTCCGCAATCCGCAACCGGGCCCCCATTAGCGGCATCACTGGTCCTGATCTTTCCGGAGCCTGGGCGAAATGACGAATGGAACCGGACACCGGAAATCTGAAGAAAAGAATGGGGGTGCTAGGCCTCTGGCCGGAAACTCCGTGGGGGCAAGAAGCCGCAGGGCATTGGAAACAGCTGCGTTTTTCTTTGACAGTGCCGCTACGAAGGCCACGAAGGAAAAGGCACTAAAAGGGAAAACGCTTCATGCAGGAGAAACCCTACCGCAGGAAACGCCCTCCCGCAGGAAACGGGCTTCGGCCGGACAAGATCTTCCACAGTGACGCCAAACTGAAACGAAGACATCCATAGGCAAAACTGAAAAAGATACCCAAAAATCTTTGTTGTCGGCGTGATGTGGCCTCAGGTGTCACTCGCTGACGGGTAAAGATCCGATAAAGCAAAAACTGCACCGAAAGACCTGCAAATGCGTGAAACACTAGGCCAAGGTGAACTTGGCACAATTCAAACAAACAGAAAAAACAGCTTGCTAAAAATCTCGCTTCTGCTCGCGTCAATGGTTGTTCGCAACACAATATGCCCAATTCGAACTAAAACATTCAATGAACAGAACGAACCTCCATTAGTGCAACTCAAACGGTCAAACAAGCAGCTCACCAACAATCTCGCTTCTGCTTGCGTCAATGCTTTGTCTGGTTTGCCCACACTGGTACTTGGCATACCAACACAATTTGCACAGTTCGAACTTTCGAACGTCAAGCTGATCTCTTTTGGCACAGCTCAAATCCAAAAAATGAAGTTGTCGCAAATATTTCTTCAAGCGTCCAAAGAGACCTTCCACCGCGTTTGTCGTGACATTGATGTCCTGACCAAATATGCCTTCCACGCGGGTGCTCTGACCAGCCTCGTGGTTGACAGCTCGGTGCACATACTGGCGTCCTCTGCGGGCCAAAAAGTGGTACGACTTGTGCCTGTCCGTGAAGATTTAAATACCCGGCAACACGTGTGTCTCAATCTGCCGCTTCAAAGTTGCCTTTTTCCTGTTCGGACTGGTAATCCAGGCACATGCGCCTGTGGCTTTTCTGGTTGCCAAGTCCAACTCCAAGAAGCCCACAACAATGGTCTGTTACCCCTGGTGCGCCTTCCAACAGAACCTCCTGCATTCGTTCTCTTCTTGGTGGAAAACGTCTCATCGATGCCGACCACACAGCCACGACCACCAAGTTGCACACAATTGAACTGCTGTTGTCGGATCTTGTTGCGGATCTTGGCCCATGTTTTCTAGGCCAAACCAGTTTCTGTGAGTACCTGCTTCTGGGGTGCATCAGTACAATGTCCGGAGGTACTGCGATGGCTTCATTGAAGCGGGCAAATAATAAGGCAAGTCGCCATGGTCTCGCCACGTCTTCTTATAATTGCAACGCTTGTGCGTTGGTTCTTTCTCGTCGTCCTCCTCGCTTGCAGTGCAGTGCAGATGGCAATAGGAAACATCTTCATTTTCGTTTCCATTTGAAATCTTCCGGCTGCAGCATCGTGACAGAATCAACAACTCTAGCCACACCAAAAGCCAAAGAGCTCTGTTGTTTCCCGCTCCACAACTTTGCGGCACATTCCTTGCAACTTGGCATGGCGGGAAAGCTTTCCAAGCGAGTGAGGCACGCTGCAACTTGTGCCAAGACCTTGGATTTCCAGCACAAGCTCTTCCCGTACTTGTGTTGTTCTCCGACAAGCAAACAACAACAAGAACAAGAACAAGAAGAACAAGAACAAGAAGAAGGAGAAGAACAAGAAGAAAAAGAAGAACAAGAAGAACAAGAAGAACAAGAACAAGAAGAACAAAAAGAACAAGTGGAAGAAGAAGAACAAGAAAAAAAGAACAAGAACAAGAAGAACACGAACAAGAGGAAGAAGAAGAAGAACAAGAAGAACAAGAACAAGAAGAACAAGAACAAGAAGGGTAACCCGTTTTTTAACCCCTAAACCTATTTTTT